TAAGTGATATTCCTACCTCTCCTAAAAATTCATCTCCTAACTAACTTACATGTTATATTTACTCTCGCCTCAGCTAGGTCACTGCCTTTCATCCAAGCATGGCAAATATTGATGATAGGAAGGTGCCTGAAGCAAGTTCAAAATCCAACGTCCTCCTGAACTCTGAATCTTCCCCATTATGACCTGGATTAGATGAGAGGTTCACCATTCCAACTCTAATTTCGTGGTAGTACCTGGCCTCTACTCAGAAGCTACTGCTCTGTCCTAATGTCCACTAGGTCAGGAGATACAGAGATCCAGCTCTAAAAATAGCACGCTGTAGCTAGGTGGGGGAGTTCCAGGAGTAAATGATTGCTGCAAGAAGAAATAGGTCAGTTTTCTCCTGTTTCCAGGACATAGTTTGGAGAGCAGGTGGAACATGCTTGACAACATGCCTTTGCTTGGTGCCTTTCACTAAATAAAACCCCCAAAATCTAGGAGCTGAAACCTACAGTAGCGGTCATGCAGCGCAACTCCTGGTACCTCCTGCAGTCTCTGCGGATCTCTGAAGGAGGGGGGTCTGCTCAAAACCCACCACACGTGGCAAGTCTGGACTCAGCGTCCACAGGAGCTGTTATCCTCCCTGTGACACCAGCCTCCTGAAAATCTACACTGGGCATTTGACTCCCTGTACAGTTACCTGCATACCTCGAGTCACAAGAGTAGTTTTAAATTGTCAATGCTCGCCTAGGCAGAGGCGGAAAGCTGTGGCTGCGCAGATGCTCATCTTCATTTCCCACCTGTGGAGACCGTTCCTGTGTTCTGCAGCTGGGTGGCATGCCTGTGGCTGTGATGTGGAAGAATAAGGTGGCTGGAGTTTATGAAGAGCTAGTGGGTTCATTTCTGTAAAAGAAAAATAGGCTGAAATCCAGAGAGGGGTTAAAAAGCGCTAGAGACATGTTTTAGCTAGATAATTGCAACAAAAGGTGCTGGTCCATGCTGCAACATTGCCTTGTGTCTCGTGGAAGCTCAAATATTTTAACTTCTCACCCTTCTGTCAATTTTTACGTGTAGCCAACATGGAAGAGCCATTTGCTTTCATCCTGGTGTAGCACAGATTTGTATGTATTTTAATATTCAGAAATAAGAAACATTTGCATAAAAAAGAATATAATAAGGTCTCAGTATAACTTTGGTAACTTTCAATCAACTTTACAATACTGACAATAACGCTAAGCTTGCACTAGTTAATTAGAGCTGCTGGTCTAAAAATGTGAAACTTAAGAAAAAACGTTGCACAGAACAGCTAGAAGTGTGCATTCCTTAATTGATGCTGATACTGATTTAAATTCAAGCACTGTCACACAGCATTAGAAACTTGGTTACGAAGAACAGTCCTGCTGAGGTTAGAAAGGAAATAGTCACTTGGCTGTGGACGAGCTTCTAAGTACATGGGAAAAAAAGACTTTTTAAATTTTTTTTTCTTGGTTTGAACCAGAAAGCAGGCAAAAATGACTGTTACTAGTGGGGGGAAAAAACAGCAAAACTGAAAAGACTGCCTGGATTCTCTACCACTAACAAAATTAGCACTGTTTCACAGGAGGTCCTACAGTTTGTGTCACACACAGCATTGGAGCATTTGCCCACACTAGCAGCCGCATCCTAAAACTGAGGGAACCTGGTGGTCCCCACTCTCTGAACACTGACGGAGAGGGACAGGGTGGCCCGGCCACCCTAG